AGATTCAGAAACTCTTTGAGAAAATGCAAAGGGGAACTTAGGGAACTTTAGTAAACCCGGAGAAAACTTTGTAAATGTTACAACTTCATAACGCTCCTGAACAGATGCCAACTAGGAGAAACAACGCTCCTGAGATTCCAATGGAAGAAGTATTGCTACGCGATGGGAACTGGGCTTTACGCTGCCAAGTCGCGGCTTTGACAGCAGAATTTGCTGCTATGCAGCAAGCAACACCAGTGAAAGAGAAATCATGGCAGAGGGTTGTGCAATGGGAGTGGAGAAAAATCCCTTCGCACTTTCTTGATCCAATTCTGCCAGACAATGAAGCGGCCGGAGATGACAGAGGCAGGGTGGAAATCATGTTTCAAGGTGGACATTCCTGTATTTTGTGGCGGACATGAACCCGAAGAATTCTTGGATTGGATCAATATGGTTGAGGATATAATGGATTTCGTGGAGGTTCCAGATTGCAGACGTGTGTCCCTTGTCACCACCCACTTTCAAGGCCAAGCAGCAGCCTGGTGGAGCAAGAGAAGGCTGTGTGGATCAGATTGGGGAAGATACAGGTTGCATCATGGAAGAATTTAAAGAAACACAAGCATGCAGCCTTCTTGCATATAGCTGTAAGCAAACGATGTACTGACACCTACAGAATTTGCACCAAGGGCAATGTTAGGTCGAAGTGTACACGTCGGAGTTTTTCGTGTTGATGGCACAAAAAAAAATCTATCTGAATTATAAGACTAAATGTATAATACCCCGAAAAGTCCTAATAGTGGTTAATCTTGAATTTGGGACCTTACTGTAAGATGTTAAAAGTTAGAAGACCAAATGATGACTTCTCATAGTTTAGGGACCATATTGCACATTGACCCATAGTTGAGGGACCCCAGGTGCAATTTAGGAACTTACTGTTTTTAGTTTCTATTCTTGCATAGATTTATATGGCGTGATTTTGATGGAGAATGCACAAATACCACATATGTCAAAGATAAATTAAGAAGGTTCCTTCCTTGGTCACTTTTACCATATACGCACGCGTCACTCCTTCCATGGTTCAATAAGAGATTCAAGGAATGACTATAGCAAAATGATAAATTTCCTTATACGTGTAGATTTGTATGTATTAATTTTTTTAATTAAAGACACATTAAAGTTAATTAAGGAATATAGCCCCGTTTGGCCCTCATTATTTGAGATTATAATTTTTGGAATAGTGTTTTTTGTAAGAATGTGCGGTTAAAAAGAAGAAAATTTTTTGGATTTACGTATAATATTATTTTATTGAAAAATGTGTGGTTGATAAAAAAAGAGAGAAAAATGGATTATAATTTTAATGGGAGCCAAACGGGTGTATAATTATATCTAATTATGATTGATTGATTTAAATTATATAATTAGAGGATGTCAGGCAAAAATTTTTTGGAAGATTTTA